GTTGACTATTAACTCTGAAAAAGGCACTAGTAAATCAAGAAGTTCAAGGACATTTTTATCATTTGGTAATGGGTTATGGGCTTCACTGTCTGGTCAGCATTTATTGCCTATCCCTAGTTGCCCTAGAAAAGGTGGTAGTGAGCTGCCATCTTAAACTACTGCATTCCATTTGTAATGGGTACACACACAATACTCTTAAGGCATCATTGAGGATTGGGATCTTATAAAGTCTCCTCCCACCAGTGAGTTGTTTAATTGTCCACTGGATGTCGCCGGACTGCAAAGCTTAGCTATGATCCGTTGGTTGTGGGATCGCTTAGCTCAGAGTATCATTTACTGCTTGCTGTTTAGCATACAAGCAGTCCTGTTTGGTAGCTATGTTGGGTGCATTCCCTCCTGCCATCTTCATTGTACCAGGGTTGATCTCCTGGCTTGATGGTAATGGTTGAGTGGGCGATCTGCCAGGCCATGACATTGCAGATTGTGCTGGAGTACAATTCTCTGCCGTTTATGTTCCATAGCACCGCAGTCTTGAGTTGTTTGATCTGTTCAAAGTCTGTCCCATTTGAGACAGCGATACTGCTACACAATACAATGGAGGGTATTCTCAATGTGAAGGGGATCTTTGTCTCCACAAGGGCTGTGTGGTAGTCACTCTTCTGTCACGGACAGATGCATCTACAGTTGGCTGACTGGTAAGGATAAGGTCAATTATGTTTTTCTCTCTAGTTCCCTCATCACCTGCCACAGACGCAGTCCAGCAGCAATGTCCTTTAGGACATGAACAGCTCGATCAGTAGCACTAATGTCATTGTCACTGTACCTTTGCATCCTCCATACTGTGTCCAAGTGTTGTTCAACATGGAGGAATACAGATTCATCAGCTGAGGGAGGACAATACATGGTAATCAGCACGATATTTCTTTGGCCCTGTTTAACCTGAGGCCATGAGACTTCATGGGATCAATGTTGAGAACTCCCAGGGCAACTCCCTCCTGATTGTATACCACTGTGTCCACACCTCTGATTAATCTGCCCTGCTGGTGGAACAGGGCATAGAGTGATGGTGATGGTGTCTGTAAGGTGTGATTCTATGAGTATGCCTATGTTAGGCTGTTGTTTGACTCATCTGTGAGACAGCACTCAAAATTTTGGCACTAGCCTCGAGTTGGTAGTCAGGAGAATTTTGAAGAGCCAACAATACTGCTTTCGTTGTTGCCATTTCCAGTCTCTTGGACAATGCCAGTTGTTCCATCTGGTTTTGTTTCTTTATGGAGACTTCATAGCAATTAATACAACTGAGTGGCTTATTAGGCCATTTCAGAGGGCAGTTTAAAATCAACCACATCACTGTGGTTCTGGAGTCACTTGTAGAACAGACCAGTTTGGGAGACTGGCATATCTCATTTTATTGAATTAGATGGGTTTTTCCTGACAATCAACAATGGTTTCATGGTAATAGGTAGATTTTTAATTCCAGAGATATTATTTATTGCATTGAAATTCCACCATTTCTGTGGCGGGATTCGAACCCATCCCCAGATCATTAATTGAGTTTCTGGATTTATAGTCTAGTGAGCATAACACTAGGCCATCACCTCTGCCAATTAGTAATGGGAAACAAATGCTGACCTTGCTAGCTGAAAAGAAAAGCATTCTTGTACTTGTTCCAAAGTCCCTAACATTAATCATGCCACCACTGGCAATAGTATCTCAAGTTTCCTGGGTCCAGTACAGAATAAAGTAGCAGCTATACTCAATGAGAAACCCTGTCACCCAAAAAGAGCTGCAAATGCCTGAAACCATACACCCATGGATACCCAATCATCAAGGGCATCCAGAGCTCAACAGATTGCAGGATACTAAGACAACCAATAAATATGAGATAGCGGAAGGAGCAGCTATGTTTGAAAGTAACCTTGATCTCTTTGAATGATGGTGGGGCAGACTCCATGGATTAAATGACCCATTTGCACTCCTTACTCCTGCAATCTGATGTCCCAGGCTGTAGAATGCACATGCTAGATCTTTACACCTCTCTAACTTTCATTCTTTTATGAGGAAGAGAGGGATGGAGAAATTGGAGGCAATTTCAAAGCCTCCAAAGAATAGGCAGCTTCTAAACTGATCTCAGGACAGTGTTAAAGTGACAGAACAAGATTTGCGAGAGCACAGAATAACATATTGTGCATATTGTGGCAGTAAAAGCTCTTTATTCACAAGTAAAAATGGGTACTATGAAGAATCGTGCATGTCACTTATATATAATTCAACCTCAGATCTTGTGTGTCATTTATGATTAAATTCCAGGTTGTAAATGTCCTGTATGATTAGGGCCAGATCATGTCACAGGATGACAGATTTGTTGCGGTGTAGAAGGACCCATTGTGCCTGCACTGACATTTCAAGTGGGCATCATAGAGTAATACAGCATGTAAACAGGCCCTTTGGCCCAAACTGGTCCATGTTGACCATGGTTCCCACTCAGCTAATTCCAATTGCCTGCATTTGGTCCATATCCTTCTAAACTCTTCTCATCCATGCACCTATCCAAATGTTTTTTTTTTAAATGATGCTATTGTACCTGCCTCAACCACTTTCTCTGCAGCCCATTCCATTTACGCACCACTCTCTGCGTGAAGAAGTTGCCCCTCAGGTCATTCTTAAATCTTTCCCCTCTCACCTTAAACCTATGCCCTCTAGTTTTCAATTCCCCATCCCTGGGAAAAAGACTCTATGCATTCAACCTATCTGTGCCCCTCATGATTTTATACAATATAATAAGATCACTTCTCATTCTCCTACGTTCTAAGGAATAAAGTTCTATACTGGCCAACCACTCCCTCTAACTCAGGCCTACTAGTCTTGGCAACATCCTCATAAATCATCCTTTCACATTTTCCAGTTTAACTGGGTCTTTCCTATGACAGGGTGACCAAAACTGTACACAATACTCCAAGTGCAGCCTCACCAATGACTTATACAGCTGTAACATTACGTCCCAACTCCTATTCTCAATATCTGGACGAATGAAGGCCAGGCATGCTAAATGCCTTCTTCATCACCCTGTCCACCTGTGATGCCGCTTTCAACGAACTGTGTACTTGTACTCCTAGGTCCCTCTGTTCCACAACACTGCTCAGGACCTTACCCATTTACTGTATAAGTCCTACCTTGGCTTGACTTTCCAAAGTGCAACACCTTACACTTATCTGTATTGAATTACATTTGCTAATCCTCAGCCCACTTCCCCACCTGATCAAGATCCCTCTGTAATTTTTGATAACCTTCTTTGCTGTCAATGACACCTCCTAATTTTGTATCATCTGCAAACTTACTAATCATGCCTTGTACATTCACATCCAGATCATTTAAGTAAATAACAAATAACAAAGGCCTCAGCACCGACCCCTGTGGCACACCACTAGTCACAGGCCTCCTGTCCGAGAAACAACCTTCAACCATCACCTCCTGCTCCTACCATTGAGCCAAATTTGAATCCAATTAGCCAGCTCTCCTTGGATCCCATGCAACCTAACCTTCATGATTAGCCTGCCATGTGGGACCTTGTCAATGGCCTCACTAATACATTATTACTTAATGCCAATCTCCTGTTTTTTCTCCATACCTTTGCACATTATTTCTATCTAAATAATCATCCAATGCCCTCTTAAATGCCTCAAATGAACCTGCCTGCACTACATTCCCAGGCAATGCAATTTCATACACTAGCTACTCTGTGCGTGGATATGCTTTTTTTTTTCTCCTATCACTCTTGCTTGTTTTGCACATCACTTAAAATACATGCACCCCTCATTCCTTTCATGAGCATGAACAGCTTTTCCCTATCTACTCTATCCAATCCACTCATAATTTTAAAAATCTTAATCAGCCTTCTTCTCTCCAAGGAAAACAGAACTAACTTCTTCAATCTAATCCTCAAAACTGAAGTTTCTCACTCCTGGAACCAAAATTCTAAATCACTTCTGTACTGCATTCACATCTTTCCTATACAGGTAGTTCTGCTATAATGCAAGCTTCATTTACACAAATTGGCTGTAATGCGATTGATGAATAGTGGACGCTGTTTGGATAACATAAAATTTCTGCTGTACGGGTATAGTGATTTTCTATAGTGATTTCCCTATATTGCAATTTTCTGTGGTGATTTTCTATAGCGTGAGGTCACACAAGATAGCAATTATCACATTATAGGAGAACTACCTGCACTGTGGTACTCACAACTGTATACAATACTCCAACTGAGAACTAATAAGTGTCTTATGCATCACCTCCTTACTCTTGTATGCTATGCCCCTATTAATAAAGGCAAGGATACTTAATGCTTTATTAACTACGCTCTCCACCTTTCCTACTACCTTCAATATCTGTGCACATAAACACCCAGGACCCTCTGCTCCCATACTCCCTTTAGAATTGTTTTCCCTATTTTATATTTCCTTTTCAATGTTCTTCCTATTGTCATGCATCACCTTACACTTCTCTGCATTGAACCCCACAGCCATCTATCCGCCCAAATTGTCAATGTCCTTTAAGAACACAGTGTGCCCTGTTTGTAAACAGTGTGTTTTGAAGGTGTTCACTTCATGTGTAATGCAAAGAGGACACAACTAGTGAAGCCCAACCATGATTAGTGGAGAGTCATGTCACTGATGTGGGAAACTTGGGACTGGATTAGTCAGGAGCTGAGTGGACCAGGATTTCTGTCACGATAGGCAGCAGGTGTCTAGGTATTTTGTTCCAGCTTCTTGCTGCTGGGAAGTTTCCAGTGGATTCTGTTAATCTAATGTTGAATAATCTGACATCAAACAAAAATCATGAGTCTAAAAGTTTCACTCAGAATTCTTTCAAATGTAACTGTGTTTTCTACATCTCTCTGGAAATCAAATGTTGACAACATTCAGGCACAGGGCAGTTGCTGTCTGAGTGTCAACATAGCAATACACAGTAAGACGTGAACAGTGATCATATTTATGTACCTGAAAGGACTGAAGGAATGAATTGAAGTAGATGAAGACGATCTGTGATATGTCATCCTCGCCAGGATTGACAAAGAACAGCATGTAGGTGATCCCAAGCAATGGCAACAGAACGAGCGTAGCTTTCACTGCTTTCCTGTGAGAGAAGACACCAGTCAGAGTCAGAATCAGAATCAGAATCAGAATAATGAGCACCTTTGTTAGTGTGCTGGAACTAAGACTTCTTAAGATCTCCATTCACTAAAACTTTCCTTTGTAGCCGTGCCACCAGAACTAGAGATTTAATGGCTGCTCAATCCGTACATGGTCACAGTAATATGACAAGAGGAAATGGGAGGAAATAGAGGAGAGAATTTAAGGAACAAATGAAAAGTATAAAAATATATGAGATCAGATGACTGTGGTAGGCATGCAATCAGTACTGGAGAAGTTGCAATAACTTTCTTCATTTCCTTTTATTTTTAATTGTTGGATTTCCTGCAATGCAGATTGTCCAATTGGGAAATCTCTGATTCATCAGCTGATGTGGCTATTAACTCAGGTACAGGCATTGCCATAGATTAACAGACTGCAGTGTTCTCTCCTTATATTTCAATGTGGCTACAAATGATGCACAATTGCTGACTGGCAAATCAGACACTAACCAGCATACAATGAGTGCTGGATTTAATGCAGGGCCTGGCGTCTTGCCAATCAGCTGGAGAGCTGGAAAGACCTTCATGTTGCCTATTTTCAGTGAGGCTATATAATGTGCCAGTCGGCCACTTTGTAGCAACAGGATCAAGAACTCTGGTGGCAGTGGTCTGCCTGCCAAGACCCTCTGGTCAGAGACTGGTTGAACCACTGAGAGGATAGTAACTGCTGATATTACGACTTGCAGCCGAAAAGACTGCATGGGTAGTCAGGTCATGCTCTCTGCTTCACGTCTGCTGCTGGGTAAATAGCAGAGGTGGCAAGATGAAGTCTTTAATTGGGTGTTAATTACATTCTCAGGGGCTTCAACTGGTTTGGGGAAGACCTTCCATACGATAAACTACCACATATTTAATTGGGGTTGAAATGTTTAAGCACCAGGGTCCTTACCCACCTGGTCTACAAGAACACATGCATTAGGGGCAGTAGTCAGCCAATCAGTCTCTCAATTATACTCTGCCACTCAACAAAATCACGACTGATTTGGTTATGGTCCCAATTCCACTCTTCCCCTCATAACCTTTGACTCCATTGATCAAAAATCCATCTCATTCACAAGCCCAGCCTCCACTGCTCTCTGGGAAGAGAATTCCATAGAAATACGGCCTCCGGGAAAAAGAAAATTCTCCTTATCTCAGTCTGAAATGTGAACCCCTAACATCTCAGAGTCCAGGCAGTCAAGTCTCCTCAAGATCTTATATATTTCTATTATATCATCACTTATTCTTTTAACTCCATTGGTAGGACCCAATTTGCTTAACCTTTCCTCCTAAGCTAAGTCATTCATCCCAGGAATTAGTTGAGTGAACACTTTCTGAACTGTTTTTAATGCAATTATATACCTACACTGATTGCAGTTACAGTAAAGGCCAACCATCCTTTTGCTTTCCTAATCATTTCTTGTGCCTGCATAATAACTCTTTGTGATGAATGTACCAAAAACTGTCGATCACTTTGTACCATAGTATTCTGCAATCTCTCATCATTTAAATCATACATTGCTATTTTATTCTTAGTGTCAGAGAGGGTAAGTTCTTATTTTATCATGTCATATTCCATTCGCCATATTGTTGCTCACTTTCTTAGCCATCTAAATTCCTTGTGTGCCACACCAGTGCGCTACTCACCCCTTCCCAAAACCACCACCTGCCCCAAGTGTAACAGAGCCTGCGGTCGCTGTATTGGTCTGTACAGCTACCCATAGAACAAAGAAAAAAGAAGAACAAAGAAAATTATAGCACAGGAACAGGCCCTTCGGCCCTCCAAGCCTGCGCCGATCCAGATCGTCTATCTAAACCTCACCATGAGAGTGGAAGAGAGTCATCCTCATCTGCAAGGGACTGACTTTCCTATCTATTCTTGGAAAGGCCTGTGAACTATGAATTTGTGCAAGCTCATGTGCAAACCCTTTTATTCACAGAATCGTAGAATTTTACAGTACAGAAGGAGACAATTCAACCCATTGCATTTTTACCGGCTCCTGAAACAGTTACCCAGCTAGTCTCCATTCTCCAGCTCTGTCTCTGTAGCCCTCTAAATTCATCATTTCTAAATATATATCCAGCTCTCTTTTGAAACATTCTATGAAATCTTACTCCACTACTCTCCAAGACACTGAATTCAAAATCCTAACAATTCTAAATTTCATCTCACCCCGACGTATCTTGCTGAGAATCTTGAAATCGTGACCCCTAGTTACTGACATACTAACTTGTGGAAATACTTTATCCTGTCAAAATTGTTCATAATTTTGAACATCTCAATAAGGTCATCTCTTAATCTTCTTTACTCCAAGGACAATAAGCCCAATTTCTGTAATTTTTTCTTTGTATCTAAAATTCCTCATTCTTGTTCCTGCCAACCATCCTTTTGCTTTCCTAATCATTTCCTGTGCCTGCATAACAACTCTTTGTGATGAATGTACCAAAAAACTTTGATCCCTTTGTACCATAGTATTCTGCAATCTCTCATCATTTAAATCAAACACTGCTGTTTTATTCTGACTGTCAGGGTGAGTAAGTTCTTATTTTCTCACATTATATTCCATTTGCCAAATTCCAGTAAAAATCCTTTGCACTCTCTACAGGGCTTTAACGTCCTTCCTTAAGTAAGTTGCCTAGAACAGAAAACAATAGTCCAAATGTCGCCTGACCAATGATTTGTACAGGTGCAGCATCACTTCTTGTTTTTACCCTATGCCTTTATTTATAAACACCGAAGCCTTCTTAACGACTGTTTCAACTTGCCTGGCCACCTTCAGAGAATCATTCATGTGAACCTTAAGGTCCCTTGCTGCCCTCAAAGTTGTACCATCAACCTGCGCTGTCTTTCCATGTCACTTCTATCAAAATGCATTATCTCACATTTCTCTGCAGTGAAATTAATCTGCCAAGGCTTTGCCCATTGGCCAACTTGTCAATGTCCCTCTGAAGTCACTCAGCATCATCCTCACAATTCACTGTTCTCCTTAGCTTTGTGTCATCTGCAAATTTAAAGATTTTGCCATCAACACCCACCTCCAAATCATTTATATGAAGCAGAAAAACGGTCCCAATACTGATTCCCTGGGGAACACCACTTTCAATTCATCTCTATTCTGAGAAATGCCCAACGATACCCACCCTCTGTTTCTTGTCTTTTAGTCAAATTCTAATCCATGCTGCCAAGGACCCATCAATCCCAAGCATTTCTAATTTACTCACCATCCTGCGATGTGGCACCATATCAAATGTTTTCTGCAAGTCCAAATATACAACATCCACAGCATTACCCTCATCTTCTGCCTGTGTCACCGCAATCATTTGTCAGACATGACCTGTCCCAAACAAACCCATGTTGACTGTCTGGTATTAACTTATTTTCCTCTAAGTGTATATTTACCTTAACTTGTATTATGGCCTCCATCAGTTTGCCCACTATTGACATTAAACTGAACAGGAATGCAGTTTCCTGAGTTATCCATTGCCCTTTTCTGAAACAACAGTGTCACATTTGCAATCCTTCAGTCTCCCCAGACTAATTCTGTTTACAAATTTCTGTCAATGGCTTCACGAATTGCTCCGTGACCTCTGTGAGCCATCTAGAAAGCATCCCACTTGATCCTGGCGACTTCGCTACCTGGAGTGCTGCCAGCGTTTTTAGCATCTTTTCTTTATCTATCACTATATTGCTCAGTTGCTGAATACCCTTATTTTCAACTAGGTTATTGTCACCATTTTCTAATTTGGTAAAGAACAGAAGCACAGTACTCATTTAGTACCTCTTCCATATCTTTGCTTCAGTGATCAGCTTACCTTGTTTGTTCCTTATGGATCCTACTCTATTTTTTGCTAAGCTTTTATTCATAATATGTTTAAAGAACACTTTATTATTTGTTACAGAACATCCTGCCTTTTTTTCCTCATGTTTACTCTTAGCCTTAACTTTTGTCCTGCATTTGAGATACCCACTCAAATTTCTATTGTTATTAATATTCCAGAAAGCATCGTATGCCTCCTTTTTCTTCCTTATGTTCTCACCAATATCCTTAGTCATCCAGGGTACTTTAGCTTTGGATACCCTGTATTTATTTCTCACCGTTATGTACCTAGCTTACAGTCTATACATCTCTCTTTTGAAATTGCCCCATTTTATATCTATCGTCTTATCTATCAAAAAGATTTTCCAATTAACTTGCTCTAGTTCGACTTCTGGACCCCCTAAAATTTTCCCTTTTCCAGTCTGGGATCTTAATTATTAACTGATTATATCCTTTTCCAACTCAATATTGAACCTTGTTATATAATGATTGCTATTCCTGAATGCTCCCCCATTCTGATTTCTCTACCTGGCCCGCCCAATTTCCAAGGACCAGATTCAGCACAACTTCCTGCCTGTAAATGTACTGTTCCAGAAAGTTCTCCTGCACACATTGCAAGTATTTCTCCCCTCTGTGCCCCATACTCTATCTTTTCCCCAGTCTGCCCTAGGGTAATAGAAGTCACTAACTATCACACCCTACTCATCCTGCAGATTTCCATAATCTTCTTATAAATTCTCGCTTCTACTTCCTCCCCACTATTTGTCCTGGGTGTCCTCCAGTGTTTCAATGACGCCATCCGGAAACTGGAGGAACAGCACCTCATATTCCGCCTTGGGAGCCTACAACGCAATGGTCTTGATGTGGACTTTACTAGTTTCAAAATCTCCCCGACCCCCACCTCATCCCAAGACCAACCCTCTCTCTCATCCCCGCCTCCTTGACCTGTCCATCTTCTCTCCTATCTATCTGCTCCTCCCACCTCCCTGACCAATCCCCACCACTGCCTACCTACACTCACCATCCCACCTACCTTCCCCAGCCCCACCCCTCCTCTCTCTATTTATTTCCCAGCTCACTTCCCCCTCCCCATTTCTGTAAAAGCGTCCCAACCTGAAACGTGAGCTTTCCTGTTCCTCTGATGCTGCCTGGCCTGCTGTGTTCCTCCAGCTCCACACTGTGTTGTCTCTGACTCCAGCATTGGCCATTCTTACTATCTATAAGAGACTCACAATCTCGACTGCAAACTAGACTGTCTACCCATCTAATTACTGAGCATCTCACTACTACTACCTTTCTAACCTGCCTAACAGTCTCTCTCTCTTTTCCCAGAGTAGTCTCGAGCATCAGGGTTTTCTCTTGAGTCATCCACACCTGATGTCAGAGACAACAAGGTGCAGGGCTGGATGAACACAGCAGGCCAAGCAGCATCATTGGAGCAGAAAGGCTGACGTTTCGGGCCTAGACCCTTCATCAGAAAAGGAGGAGGGGAAGGGGGTTCTGAAATAAATAGGGAGAGAGTGGGAGGCGGATAGAAGATGAATAGAGGAGAGGATAGGTGGAGAGGAAACAAACAGGTCGAAGAGGCGGGGATGGGGCCAGTAAAGGTGAGTGTAGGTGGGGAGTTAGGGAGGGGATAGGTCAGTCCAGGGAGGACGGACAGGTCAAGGGGCGGGATGAGGTTAGTCGGTAGGAGATGGGGGTGCGGCTTGAGGTGGGAGGAGGGGATAGGTGGGAGGAAGAGCAGGTTAGGGAGGCGGGGACGAGCTGGACTGGTTTTGGGATGCGGTAGGGGGAGGGGAGATTTTGAAGCTTGTGAAATCCACATTGATACCATCGGGCTGCAGGGTTCCCAAGAGGAATATGAGTTGCTGTTCCTGCAACCTTCGGGTGGCATCATTGTGGCACTGCAGGAGGCCCAGGATGGACATGTCGTCTGAGGAATGGGAGGGGGAGTTGAAATGGTTCGCGACTGGGAGGTGCAGTTGTTTATTGCGAACCGAGCGTAGGTGTTCTGCAAAGCGGTCCCCGAGCCTCCGCTTGGTTTCCCCAATGTAGAGGAAGCCACACCGGGTACAGCGGATGCAGTATACCACATTGGCAGATGTGCAGGTGAACATCTGCTTGATGTGGAAAGTCTTCTTGGGGCCTGGGATGGGGGTGAGGGAGGAGGTAGGGGGGCAGGTGTAGCACTTCCTGCGGTTGCAGGCAAAAGTGCCGGGTGTGGTGGAGCTGGAGGGGAGTATGGAGCGGACAAGGGAGTCACGGAGAGAGTGGTCCCTCCGGAAAGCAGATAAGGGTGGGGAGGGAAAGATGTCTTTGGTGGTGGGGTCGGATTGCAGATGGCGGAAGTGTCGGAGGATGATGCGTTGGATCCGGAGGTTGGTGGGGTGGTACGTGAGGACGAGGGGGATTCTTTTTTGGTTTTTATTGCGTGGACGGGGTGTGAGGGATGAGGTGCGGGAGATGTGGGAGACACGGTTGAGGGCGTTCTCGACCACCGAGGAGGGGAAGTTACGGTCCTTGAAAAACGAGGACAACTGAGATGTACGGGAGTGGAATGCCTCATCCTGGGAGCAGATGCGGCGGAGGCGAAGGAATTGGGAATAGGGGATAGCATTTTTGCAGGAAGGTGGGTGGGAGGAGGAGTATTCTAGGTAGCTGTGGGAATCGGTGGGCTTGAAATGAATATCGGTTTCTAGGTGGTTGCCCGATATGGAGACAGAGAGGTCCAGGAAGGGGAGTGAGGTGTTAGAGATGGTCCAGGTAAACTTAAGGTTGGGGTGGAAGGTGTTAGTGAAGTGGATGAACTGTTCGAGCTCCTCGTGGGAGCACGGGGCGGCGCCAATACAGTCATCAATGTAATGGAGGAAGAGGTGGGGTTTAGGGCCGGTGTAGGTACAGAAGAGGGATTGTTCCACGTAACCTACAAAGAGGCAGGCATAGCTTGGGCCCATGCAGGTATCCATGGCTACCCCCTTTGTCTGTAGGAAGTGGGAGGAATTGAAACACCTGATGTCAGTTGTGTTGCTCACTAAACAGGCATTTAAAATTTCATACCTGTTAGCTCCAAGGAGTCCTGGGTTTCCTGGATCTGCTGTCTTCTTTCCTTTTGGAAAATGGTCACCCACTCACCTGCCATCTCCACACTCCTCCTTGCTGGCTGATGTGGAATGTGGAATGACCACTATCTTGTACAACTGTTCTAGAAACCTTTCTCCTTCTTTTATGGTGTGCAATGAAGAGAGTCACTGCTCCAAATCAGCCAAATGTTGCTCGAGGGCTGCTACCTTCTGGCACTTCATGCAGATGTGACTTTGGATCCAAAATCTCTCATGTTTTACATGTCATACACATCGCAAGCTTTCCAAGCATCCCTGCCATCTTTACTGATCTAAATGATGTACACCCTCTTGTGGCATAGTGGTACAATCCCTATCCCTGGACTGAGAGGGCTGGGTTCAAGTCTCACCTGCTCCAGATGTGCGTAATAACATGTCAGAACAGGTTGCTTAAAAAAAGGTTAAATAATTTTAAAAAAAAATTTTGGGTGAAGGCCTAGTGGTATTATTGCAGGACTGTTAATCCAGTTATGATGGATTCTGTAGTCAAATAGCTGGGGATTGCTTCCTGTTGGTTAAGCAATCCTCCCCTTATACAGATGTGTAACTCCCTAGACATGAATGCTTACTTTGGGAAGTAACCTTTGATGTGGCACTTTCTTAAATGCCTTTTTGAAATCCAATTGAACCACTTTTGCAGGTTCTCCTTTATCCATCTTGCTCAGGAAATTGTTCACCCAGTAAATTGTCCCCTACCACCAAACTAATGGTGGAAGGAGGCATTAAATTCTATTCTCAAATTCAAAATGACACTGTCACCATTACAGATGCTGACATGACTACTGATAATGATGCAGACTCCACATATATCTTTCTCATGGACTGACAGACATGGACACAAAAAAATCTGACACTACTGTGCCCACTACTGTTGTGCTGATAGGATTTATTTTCATATTTTGTATTTCCCTAAACACAATAAACCTTCTATTTGTTTTCGATGTTGTGGGTGATTTATTCAAATATGTAGCCCCTTATAAGTCGGAGGAACTTAACAAGACTGATTTTGTACAGTTGAGCTGCAACTTTCAGAGTTAAAAGGAACATTGCCCAGGACTCTGTTTTCTGTTTCCCCATGAAAAAGTTGCTTTTTAGCCATTTACCTGTACTGCATGGTTTCGGAGGTAGTGGATGCACGTAGTTTTGTCATCAAGATCCTCACAATGTTAAAAAGAAAGATGAAGTTAATCTGAGAATGAAAAAGAATTAAAGACCCCTTAAGAAGCTGCAATAAAAAGGGAAACTTTTTGAAAGAAGTCACAAAGTCCATTCATGCCATACAACCAGGGGAGCCTATCAACAGGCTTTCTGCCCTCCAGCTCCATAAATACATTTTATAGAAAATACTGCTCTTCTGTTGTTAATTGGAAGATTTGATGGAAAATTAGGTCAACCCTCCAACCCCAAGATGTGACACCTGGTCGGCTGCTCAATGACAACTCCTGCCAAATGCACAAACCCTTCTCTGGGAACACACTCCCCAAAATATCAAACACCTGACAAGATAGACAGAATCTTTGAACATCATCCTTTTATGACTGAGGTTTGGGGTATTTTCTAGTTCCACTCCTCCAATGGTTACAGCAAATTTTAAATGTAACCAGGATGGTGATATAACCAATTATATAGGTCTCCGACTGCATCAGGTTCAGTATTAACAACAATCCTTTCGTCAGCAACAAATAATTGGTTTATCACCAAAAACAAATTTGCATAAACAGATGCAAAGATTATTGAAAAACAGTTAATGCAATTTTATGTATCTACCCTTTTGAAATAGAATGAACACATGCACTCACATGTCTAAGGACAAACAAAAAAATCTGCAGTTTTCATTTTAAAGTATTCTGGCCAATTAATTGTTCAACTCATTAAAAAAGGATAAATCATGGATTATTCTAATTCTGATGTGTTCTGATTCTTAAGGTAATCTACACCCCTGCTGGTTGTACTGCTGTCTTTTCCTAGAACAACTGTAGATAGCTGAATTCCCCTTGCTTCAAATGGTAGGGTACATTTCAATAAATCCTCTCCAGGAATCCTCAGCTCACACACTTTAAGGAGAGTAGTTGCAGAGAAGGAGAAATGGGCTGTTGCTATTCAGGCAGGCTAAATCCAATCTCACAGAACGCCAAAATACAATATCCTTATCTCACTCACAAAGTGGGTCATGTGGTCTCTCCCTGAAAGTTCTCCATATTGCATGGTTCCATCTGAACTCTCTGATCGCTGTAAGTGCAAATTGCTGCTATTGTACCCAGTGCCTTTACAAAGTGTCCTTTTTGTTTAAAAGCTCAAAATATTTTCATAAATGAAACATTTTTAACTTTATCTTTGCTGAGCATTTATTTAGAAACAACAAATTTAATTCTGAATAAAAACTGAAAGAAGTGCGGATGCTGTAAATCAGGACAAAAAACAAAGTTGCTGGAAAAGCTCAGGCAGAATCTACGAAGGTAAAAACAGAGTTAACGTTTCAGGTCCAGTGACCCACACCGACCCTCAGAGCATCCCACCCAGACCCATCCCCCTGTAACCTACCTAATCTACACATCCCTGAACACCATGGGCAATTTAGCATGGCCAATCCACCTAGCCTGCACATCTTTGGACTGTGGGAGGAAACTGGAGCACCTGGAGGAAACCCACGCAGACATGGGGAGAATGTGCAAACTCCACACAGACAGTCGAACCCGTGTCCCTGGTGCTGTGAGGCAGCAGTGCTAACCACTGAGCCACTGTGCTGCCGTTTTCTTCATTCAATTAGACTACAAATGATCAAGACATTTTTGGACAATGAGAAGCCACTGGCAATAATGACAAGTTCTGTGGATTCCTATCACATCAGGCTTCCTTCCTCCTTGAGTCAGCAAAGTCAATCACCTGGGTGGATCAAACTGTAGCAGGAGTGATTAAGTTGTCCTGGACTCATATCACAAATTCAAATTCCAGGCACTAGCACACTGAGAAATCCGGAATTTACAAATAATGTGGGAATGAAATCTATTGAGTTTCTGTCATTGGATTTAGTCTATGATACTGCACATAGCATGAATAATGCATATTCTGAAGCCTACGCAAAGTATCGAATTATTTAAAAAAATTCACATCAAGGAATGTGAGTTATGCCTCAAACATATTAAATGTCCTTGAGCAAGGGAGTGAGGGCTGAATATTTATGAAATCACCACCATGATTCATTTCAACAACAATTTCTATTTATATAGCACATTTAATACAATAGGCTGCCTCAAAATACTTCAAGGGAGAATTTTATAAAACAAAATTTGACACTGAGCAACATCAAGAAATGCTAAGACTGATAACCAAAACTTGGATAAAATGACAGTTTTTAAAAGATGAAAATTGAAGGCGATCTGACAGGTGGAGAGACTTAGTGAAGGAATTACAGATTTTACTGTCTCAAGCAGCCGAAAGCAGTAAATCAAAATGAGAATTGTGCAAGGGTAAAATTTGGAAGAGGACTATTTTCTTGAAGGATTGTGGTGCTTGAGGAAATTACAGAAGTGGGGGAAGCAAAGCCATGAGGAATTTTAAAATGGATAAAAATTTTAAAACTAGGGCATGGTTTAATCTAGAAGCAATATAGTACAGTGAAATCTAGAGGTATAAAAGCACAAAGTAAGGTTTCTGCTGGAGTTGAGGTGAGACACAAACAAGTTTGGACAAAGTCATGGAGGTGAAAATAGGCAGTCTTAGTGAAGGCTATAAATATGCAGGCAAAAGCTCAGTTTGGGGGTCAAGTGAGATCTTAGGATGGTGAATACTTTGATTTACTATCAGTTATTGGCCAGGGAGAAAGACAGTGTCCGTCATTCGAGAGCAGGTTTGAGGTGGAGACTCAAATAAATCATTTCAGTTGTTCCAATATTTATGTGGAGCAAATTTCTGCTCATCAGTACTGCATATCAGAGAAGCAGTTTGATGATTTAGAGGCAAGGTCAGAAATCACATGACACCAGGTTATAGTCCAACAGGTTTATTTGAAAACACAAGCTTTCGGAGTCTCATTCCTTCTTCAAGTGTTAGTGAGAGAGGTGTTATCAGAATTTAGAAGTAAAAGATTAAAGGGTAACACCACTGATGAGGATGTATTAAACAAACCTAAGATGCTGTTAAATCTTTAGTAAGTTAGAAGGTTTTAATTGATTAATATTTTTATGTAAATCATGAAATTCCTTCCAAGTCACTGCCCTAAGAGAACTAAAGGTTTTATCAGTGTAAAGAAGAGGTGACATTTTAGGTCAGACAATGCATGTTAGGTGTGAGGCCTTATTTAGAATCTGTTTGTGTTTTGGTTTGGAGGGAGACTGATTTTTTTCCTAAAGTAGGAATATATAAAATGCTACATTGGCTGAATGTATAAAAATTGTGTGCTTTTTGAACAAAATAGAACGTATCTGCAAATACAAATTCACCCCATAGATTAACATGTGCGTGTGTGCACGCGCGCGCGTATGCGTGCGGGAGAGAGAGAGTGCATGTGCATGCTTGCATGTATGAGAGTGACAGGGGAGACAGAGAGAGAGACAGAGAGAGAGAGTGTGTGGGGTGTGTGTGTGTATGGGAGATGCGTGTTGGACACAGGCATCTCCATTAGAGACAGATACCTCAATACCTCACTGTACTAGAGGTCTATGGATACCCTCACAATTCTGCACTTCTCTAGCTTCCACTCTAAACAACCATCCCCTACAGACAAGCCCTACGCATACACAGGATCTGTTCAGATGAGGAGGAACGTAAAGGGCACCTTAAGGTGTTGAAGGACGCCCTCATAGGAACAGGATACGATGTCTAACTCATCAATCACCAGTTCCAACGTGCCACAGCGAAAAACCGAAATGACCTCCTCAGAAGACAGACACGGGATACGTCCGATAGAGTACCCTTCGTCATCCAATACTTCCCACGAGCGGAGAAGCTGCGCCATGTTCTTCGCAGCCTTCAACACATTATCGATGACAATGAGTACTTCGCTAAGATATTTCCTATGCCTCTACTTCTCACCTTCAAACAACCGCCAAACCTTAAGCAGGCCATTTTTCGCAGCAAACTATCCAACCTTCAGGACAATATTGGCCACAGTGCTATACAACTGTGTCATGGCAACCTCTGCAAGACATGTCAGATCTTCGACATGGACACTACCATCACACGTGGTAAAACCACGTACACAGCAGATACTCATGTGACTCGGCCAATGTTGTCTATCTCATACACTGCAGGCAAGGATGCCCTGAGGCATGGTATATTGGCGAAACCAAGCACATGCTACGACAACGGATAAATTGACACCGCGCAACAATCGCCAGACAGGGATGTTCCATCCCACTGGGGGAACACTTCAGTGATCAAGTGCATTCAGCCTTGGATCTTTGGGCAAACGTCCTCCAAGGCAGACTTCAGGTGACACAACAACGCAGAGTCAACAAGCAGAGGCTGATAGCCAAGTTCCATAACCATAAGGGCGGCCTCAACCGGGATCATGGGTTCATGTCACAGTACAGGTGACCCCACCAGACTATACACTCTCTCACACACACACACATTCCTCCTCTCTCTCTCACACACATGCACACACACACACACTCCCCCTCTCTCTCACACACACATGCACTCCCTCTCTTTCAAACACACACACACATACTCCCTCTCTCCCTGACTAAAAAGCTCAGGTACTCCTTTTCAGGCAACAGTGTGTCTGGCTGTTGCTTGATTAATCTGTTGGACAGCTCTCCAAAATTGAAACAAACCCACAGTTATAAGTAAGAAAGACATTGTGGGATCGACAGAGCAGTGTTTGTGGTCATTGTTTCCAGAGTCTAAGTCAATGTCCGGTGTTCCAGCTTGTTTTGTTCCTTTGTTTAGACTTCATAGCAGTTTAACACAACTGAGTGGCTTGAGAGGCAGTTAAGACTGACCCATATTATCTTAACCTGACAAAACCAGGTAAGTTGGAAGATTGGAATAAAAACAGAAGTTGCTGGGAAAGCTCAGCAGATCTGGTAGCATCTCTGAAGAAAAAGTCAGAGTTAACCTTTTGGGTCCAGTGACCCTTTGTCAGAACTAGTTCCTCAGAAAGTTCTGGGGAACGGTCACCGGACCCGAAACATTAGTGAAGAGAAAATCAGAGTTAATGCTGCCAGATCTGCTCAGCTTTTCCAG